ACTAAATTAATTTTCGTATTTAATAAGAATAAATACCTACCAATTAAATTTAACTCTATACCCAAATCTATTAACCCTTGTATATTCTATTAATTTCTATAAATTTTTACTAATAACTTTATTTCTAAATATATTTACAATCTACCTATATTATCCTAAATAATTATAATTACTACTCTAATTGTAATTAATTTAGCGTTTACTCTATATAAGGAGGTACTTATAAGGATAGGGTAATTCCATACTAAATAGCCAACTTAATTATAATTATAATAAGTTCGGTTTAAGTATACTACTACGAAATAGCCCATTATATTATATTTATAATAAATATTTAGTAATTTTAATTAAGTATACTAATTATATATATAACCTTTCTAATAATAAAAGAAATAAATAAAATTAGGATTTATTTAAAAAGTAGTAAGGGGGTAATAAAGAAAATCGGAGGGATTATTACTACAAGATAATTAAAAAAGGATATTTGAAGAGGAGGTAGAAGGGTACGAAAATAAAGAAAACGATAAATTATACCTTAAAAATACCTAATATTAGTAATATAATACGGATGGTTCAATATTTTCTAAACCTTCTAACTATTCTATATATACTACTACTTCGTTTATTATATTAATACCGGCTATTAAAAGGACGCCTTATTTAAAAAGAGGGTACAACCGGTTAGCCTACGTAACGATCCGAATATATTCTAGTTAATCGTACAATAAATTAAATTCTTTAGTATAATAACGGTTATAAAAGTTATAAACGGTTTCCGAAATACCTTACTATATATATTCGAACTTATTGAAAATAAATTATTTAATAACTTAAATATTACTATTATATTCGGTCTCTAAAAAAGTACGGAAGTCGTTCTATATAAGCATATCACAAATAATATTATACCCGGATTTACTATAAAGAATTAATATATATTTAATTTATATATTTTTAAAATTACCTTTAATATAATTAATAATAAATAAAAAGGAAATATAAAGGTATTTTTAAAAGTATATATCGATATTATAAAGGTAATTCTACAATTATAAGAAACTTTCACTAATAAATTTAATAATATTATATTTAAAATAATATTTAATATAGGCTAGTACGGCCGCGGTTAATAAAGGGGTAATTATAACAACGGCCGCCAACAAAGGGGTAGTAAAGGGAAATATAATAGAAATACGAATTTAATTATAAAAGAAGTAATTTTAATAATAGAACCTAGTAAGGATAGAAGGGTAATTTTCTACTAAATTTTATTTAATAAAGCCTACGAACGCGAACTACTCCTACTAAAATATATATAAAGGAAAATAATTAAAAAAAAATTTAATTATAATAAACTGAAATTCGAATAATTATTATTTACGTACAAATTTATTAATTTCTGAAGTTTAAAAATACGAATAAGGAATTTAAGGTAGTATAAAAGAATAGTCTTTATTACTATTTTCTTCAATAGACTCTATAGTAGGTTAATATTATTATAATAAGGGTAGAGGAAGTTAAATTATTTTAATTATAGTAACTATAGGGGTAATAGTACAAAAGGGACGAAGAATAGTTTTGGTAATATAAGAAATAAACCGGCCGCTACGTATATATATCTTAACAATATTAACTTAATTCCTAGAAGAAGAGCTATTAACTTATTAAGAACGTAGGCGAAAGGTAGGCTAAAGTAACTACAGTCGTGGCTACACATAAGGGACAGCAAATTAGGGGTTAATTTAAAAATATATTAATAGTTACTGATTATAATAAGATACGCTCCGTTAAACCTCTTTTATACTTATATAAACTCTATTTATCTACTAACGAATATTATAGAGCCTCGTACTAATCTAACGCCTTAGCACAGTACCGGATTATCCTTCCCGCAAGCCCAACCCAATATAAGCATTATCGTAAATAATCCTACACTTCAATTAATGAAAGGGAGTAGCAGCCGCTAAGGTACTTCTATATACGGGCTCTTAGCCTCCTAACATATTAGTACTACCTCCTCTACTACCACCTCCCTCCTTACTAGTATAATCTTTATATGTACAATTTACTTCCTTACCTATATTTGAAGTCTTATAATACTTTCAACGTACTTTATAACCCTATAATATAGTATTAATTTAAAAGACTATAACTATAATAGAGTAGAGGGGGGAATAATTAGTATTAACGGTCTAATTTATATAGTATAAGGTCTGGGGGTAGTAGGTAGGTTAAAGAGATAGTGGTTAATTGATTAAAGTAGTAGTAAATTAATTTTATCCTCCTCCTCCTTTTCCCCCTCCTTATCCCTATTACTCTCCCCCTTATAAATTTCCTTATATATAGCCTCCTCCTTATTATTATTAATTAGTATACTCTCGTTTTTAAAGAAGGTATTAATTATCTATATATTAAAATAGCGAACGACATTGGCAATAGTTTCGATAGTAGATTATTAAAATTAAGGTTGAAGTAGGTAGGGAGGAGAGGATAGGGGTTTTAGTACAGTAGAAGGGTATTGTACGGTAGAGGGATTATTACTTAGATTAATATTAATTAAGTTATTAAAAAAAAAGTAAGAAGGTTTACCCTATATTTTTTTAAAAACTTTTAATATTAGTATACCTACGGTATTATATGTAAATAACCTATCCCTATTCTCCTTATCCTTCTCATTAAATATATCCTCCTTATAAATTAATATATACCTATCCTTCAATTGCTCCTTCCTTCAATTATTAAAATAGACTTTCTATATAACTTTCTACTTACTGTTAACCGGGTCTTTAATTTACTTATCGTAAAGCTACTTTTAAATCTTTTTATTATATAATTTAACAGTTATTAATTGCTTCTTCTCTTTAATTAATTACTCTTATTATTACCTTTTAATAATTTACTAATTAAAATCCCCCTTTAAAAAATTTAATACCTCACCCTCCCTTAGTACCTTATATACCCATCTCCTTATCTTATAATCGAAGTTAGCTACCTTCTCCCGGTCTTAATGGTTGTATTTTTAAATAATATCGTACATTAATAAGGCTTTATAAACTATAACCTTAGTAATATAATAACGGTTATATATTAGTAAGCTAAAGGTATAATAGTATTTATCTTTAATATAAGTAATAATTTTAGTAGTTTTTCAAAAGCAGTCCTTTTTAAATAACAACGAAGGTAAAGCGGGGTTAGACTTCTTAAATTACTTTACTTAGATTTGTAGAAGTACTTTAATACAATTGATTAACTATATTCTAATATTATAGAATCCGTTATTAATATTATAAATAGTTATATTAGAATTGAAGATACGCTAATAAAATTAGCGGAGGGGAAATAGTAATAATAAGGTTAATAATTAATTTTAAATTCTCTAATAAATATAGTACGAATAAAACTAAATTCTCCTCGTTAAACGAACTATTTTAATACCTTTTAGTAATAGGATTTAAGAGATAAGAATACTCTAACGTTAAATAGTTATATTATATAGGTTAAATAAGGAAGTAAAGCTATTAGAATAATATTAAACGTATTAATATACTCTTTAACTTCTATATTATAATAGCTACTAAACCTATTAATAATTAGGAAACAGTAAATTAATTTATACAACCGCTTTAACCCAATATTATTATTTAAATTATCAAGTTTTTTATTAATATAATTAATATTATACTAATTGTAGCCAAACTAATTTTAGAAGGAGAACCCTTTATCCCCTAGCTCGTAACTATCCTCCTCCTTTAATTTCGTAAAAATCGGGGATAAGTAAAAGGAATACTAATTAAAATACTTTAATTAATCGAAAATAAGGTCGGCATTCAAGAAGCTAATCGGTAATTTAGCAAACCGGATAGCGTTATCGAAGTTATTAACGATAAAATCCTTAGTAAGGTCGGTTTTAAAAATTATATAAATAAGGATAATATTACTAAACGTATTTATACTAGCGAAGAAGGTAGTTAACTCTCTATTAGTAATATCGTTAATTTTAGGCTATATAAAGAATAGTAAATATTTACCCCTATATAATTTTATTAGTAAAGTAATATACTATATTAATTTACCTTCTACCTCGCTAACTCCCTTAATATAACTACCCTTACGCACCCGCCCGCTATATAGCCGAATTTTATACCTATTTTATTATAATTCTAAATATCCCCCCTAATAATATTGTACTTCTTAATTATAGATTCGTAATTATTAAACTACTTATTAACAAAGTCCTCGTTCAACTCCTAAAACCTCTTCTTAATATCGACGGCATAGTAAATTATAGTTTTCAATTCTAAATAGTTTTTAAGGAAGCCCGTTAATTATATCGTATTATAAGTCTCTAGAACGCCCCGTAATAAACGTAATTAATTTACTACTAATATTACTATTTAATATAATACGGGAAACCTTCCCTAGAAATAGAACATCACATACGAGACGATAGCATCTTCCTCGGCCAATATTAATATACGGGGCCTCCCTCTCGAGTACGTCGATATAATTAGTTTACCGGCTTTAATTAACAATTTGATATAACGGGAAATAAATATACGGAATTCTCTAGTAATAATAATAATTTTTTTAATAATTAGCGGTTTACACAATATTCTTAAACGTTCAATACGTTGGCGGGTAGCGAAATATATATATGCGCCGTAGTAATTAGTAGGCGCCTCCCCTATCTTATTAAAATATTTATTAAAATTTATTAATATAAATTATATTAACCTCTATTAATTTATAGATATATATAGATTATTTACTTTTGTACGGCTTTATAAAGTGGGTAGTTAGAAATAGCGAGTTTATATGTGGTTGCGTTGCTGGTTTGCGCAATGTTAAAAAGTGGTTTTGCGCGGCGTTAATAGCCGATTGTGTATGGTATAGATCGGAGCTTGTCCTAGATTAAACGTTTGTCCTATAAAATTTTTTCCCCCTCTTTTATGAGAGGGGGTTGAAAAATGGCCCCATACCCGGCCGCCCCCAACCCCCAAGTACGTATCTTTGATGAGATGACAACCAACCAGAAAGTGATGTTGCTCAGAATCCAATGCCCCAGGAAACCATGCCCGAAATGGAAGGGACGTAAACATGTCAAGAACCTGACCAAAGTTCCCCCCACCTTCAAGAACAGCCATCCCTACCTACAACCACGTCGTCCCGAATCGCGTCGCAAAGCTTTCGATTGTATCATCTACTGTCGGAAAACAGAACCTAGTACAATAGACAGCAAATTTAGCGACTAGCATCAAGAATGTCACGAAAAAGCGTCATGTCGTCCACATTCGAGCCCTCGCTCTCGACTAGCCGACAGCCCCTCGGACCATCGCTCGCCGATACCCTACCCAGCATCAACTTTGGTTTCGATGAGTTGCGCGATCGCATGGCCAAGTTCACGGCAAAATTTGACGCTTTTATTGAGCAAGGGCGCAAGCGCGTGCTAGAGGAGAGGAACCAGTTTAGGATGAACGTGGCAGAGCTCCAGGGTACGTGTCATGCACCTGGTTAGACCAAGAGGGCGCATATCGATACTAATTTCTGCTTCCTGTAACAGAGGACCAGCGTATGAAGAAAAAGGACATTGAAATTCTCCAACTCAAAACCAACACCTACCAACAGACCATGGCCAAGGAGGCCGCCGAAACACGCGAAATGCAAGCCGCCATCGCTTCGCTCACCGAGCAGCGGGATAAACAAGCCGCGATGCGTGACGCTTTGAAAGAGCAAATTGCCGCCACACAGAGGGAGATTGATGCGCGTCTAGCAGCGCAAAGGGCGCACGCTGCGCAACTGGAGGCGCAGGCGAGGTACAACGTGCCAGAGCTGGATTTCTGGGTAACGAACCTGTGCATGCGGATCGAGGGTGCCGGAGCAGAGGACAGGCTCAAGTTTGTCTATACGCACATTGATGAGAGGAACTGGGAGCGAGAGGCTTGGTTCGAGTTGAGCATGAGTGGGAGGGACTACGACGTGAGGCATTGTAGGCCAAAGCTGGAACGAGAAAAGGTCGAAAAAGTGCTGGACCGGGTAAACGAGACTAGGGAGCTCGTAGTGCTACTTAAGGGCATGAGAGAATTGTTTGTTGAGGCCATGAAATCTTGATTCCAGTTCAGCTGGCCTGGATCGAGAGTTTGGATAGTTGCGGTTAGATACCCCGAATATTGGACGTCCTGGCATGTAGATGCCAGTGGACTTGGATTGAACGATTTCAGGATGTATTTGGTTTCCCGTCACTGCTTCTATCATCATGCGAGTGTTGCCTGCTTGCGTAGATGTACCTAGGTATGGTGAGCTAATTTGTGTGTGCCTAGTTGCTCGTTGGTGGTGAGTTGCTCGGATGGCTGATTGCTTACTAGTTCCCTTGGCACCGATAGGCGTGACTTCATCTTGGTCAAAAGCAGGAACGCAAGGGCGCTCGGTTGAGAAAGGTGCCCCTGTAGAATGCCGCTGTAGCAGCTCGTTCTTTCCTAGTCTTAGCTCTTTCAGGGGTTATTGTTACTAGTATCACAAAAGCCCGCCAACCAGGGGCAGTTCCTCCCGTCAGGGCAGCGTCTTCAGGTTCCGACGCGTCTGGTAACCACAAGGGAATCACCACAACACTTCACCTCACCTCTGTCCCTTTCCATTTCACTGTCACTTCAACTTCAACTCGACACATCGCATCAGTACTTAATCACCAAACGTTGCGCCTCGTTCTTTCAACGTACAATATTCACGTTCTCTGTTCAAGAAAAGGACATTCTATCGTTTGCCATGGAGAAGAGCGAAAAACAGGCCGCCGCTCAACAGGCGGTAGACATTCTTCATGAGATTTCCACCATCCTGGTAAGCCAACAGTGTCACCCTCCTTGCTACCTCGACTGCTAATTATGAATCAGAACTGTCAGTTGGACCGCAGAACACTTTCCATCTGCATTTCCATGATTGAAAATGGCGTAAAGCCCGAGGCGCTGGCTGTAAGACTGTCTACATAACCTCACGTAGCCCGTCAGCGAGGCAACTAACACACCATGACAGGAGGTGATCCAAAAGCTTCGCGTGGAATCCCGTGTCATCCAAGCGGACATCGAGGCCGCCGCGGCCACCCCCAGTGCAGCTCGCCGAAAATAGATGATCGGCGGGGAGAGGGTTTTACTCGGTTCTTCGAAGCGTGAACCGTTAAATGAGGAAGACGACCAAGAGCAGATGGATATCGACTTAACTTCCGACGGTATAAATCAGCGTTATCTAGCCGCGCCGAACGACACCATCTCGCGGTACCATCTAAATCTCACTGTCTACACTCTTCGATGGGTGATTATGGGGTTCAAGGAACTGAAGACAAGATATCCACCATTGTGCCTCTCTGACAGCAAGATGGACCAGATTGCGGCGGACTTGATTCGCCGACTACACGTGCTGTTGAGAAGGGAGGAGCTCAGCTCCGAAGTGAGTCGTGGTCGTAGGGCATCAAGAAACCTCACAGAAACCGGGAGAAACGGCGGTTTGCCGTTGGGATTGAGAAGGGCCAGGAGGGCCCAAAGCGCACCGGACCGGACAGAGAGAATCAAGTTTTACCAGGAGATGCTGCGATTCGTGAGACAGCGACCCATGATCTCGACGTCGTTGCAGCCAAGCCCCACGGAAAGTTGGGACCATGATCGCTTCTCAGCAGACTGGAACCAGAGGGGAGAAGAGGAGGAAACGAATGATGCACTGGAACTCTGCGAAACATACGGAGGGGAGGTGAACCAAGACTCGCGAGAGGAAGAACAACAGGCACCGGTGGAAACGGAGGTTATTGAAGTCGGCAAAACAGGAGATGGCGAGGAAAACGTCAAAGATGATTCGGAACAAGAACAGGCACCGGTGGTGACAACGGAGGTCATTGAAGTACAACCATCCAGTGGAAGCAACAGCTCCGACGACAACGAACGAATACGCCACCAGATGTGATATGAAGGCCAAAAAAAATCAAGAAGCCAGTGGGAAGAATAGAAGCCGCAAACATGTCCATCTAGAAGAAACTCACCTCCGAATTCGATTCGAGCGACAGCGAGGCATACCTTTACGACGACCAGTGATTATGCCGGTTGAATGGTTCACACGGTTCACGAGCATTACCATGATGGAACCCAGATCGATTCAATGTATCAGATCAGCCATCTGAAGACGTGGAGGATTCAGCGATTGTTTTCAGTTCGTTCTTCGCATATTGAATCGACGATACAAAAGACAGCGACATAACATCAAGACAATGATTTTTTTTTTCCAAAGTTCTTTCAGTGGCAGTTAGATCTGACTCCAACTAACCAGAACATGTCGTCATTGTTCCTTGCAACCTGTGACTGTTTAGTTGATCCTCCTGCAGTTCACATGAAGGAATTATTTCCTTAGCCCAACCGCCCAACTACCCAGCTACTATCTAATCAATTGTCTCTAGGGAACTAACAGTGAGAAGATCATATTGATATTAGGCAAGCAGGCCTCAACCTTAACCAAGCCCATTGTAATCTCACAACCTTTTGTTCTCTGTGAGGTGATCAAGAATAATTGTCCCGAGTTTCTTTTCGTCCTGGCACCGCTATATATGGATCAAGTGAGTAGGCCCAGCCAAAAAGTCCTAAGCACTGGGTACTGAATATATGTACACTATCAAGCCAAATGCTATTCATTTCCTGAATGATCTTTTTATGGAATCTTTATCTTCGCATCTGGCTGCAGAGTCACGAAGGTAGAGAGGATGATGAACTCATGATTTCAGGATCCTTCCAAAATCGAAGACCCGATATACATATATATACACATATTCATGTTGATATCAAACTGTCTTTGAAAGCCCTTCTTAGGTGGAAAACAGTCGATCTACATAGGGTGGGTGGACCGTCAACTTCAAGATTGTAGGCATACTACAAGCTCAAGCTCGTTGTTGTTGTGTTTCGAAACCCTCGTTTTAATGTATTACATAAAACCATTAGTTTTATAATAGCATACTTCAGTTTTAGACTTTCTTCTTGAATTGGCGTAAACTGACTACCATCTGTACAGGTTATTCACTGCAGGAAAAAAAACCGAAAAAATTTTTTTTAAAAAAAATAAAAAAAATAAAAAAAAGAGGATCAGGGAGCCGAAGCTACAGGTACGGCTTTGGGAAAGTAATTGATCTCCATATTCTAGTTGTTTTAATTTCCCCTACCCATTCAGCCGAACCGAACTCCAGTCTCATGCTCATGCCCACTGAAAGTTGCCTTTGTACAACGTCTCGGAAAATAAAGACTGTAAAGACCACAAAATATACTGTATAAGGTATATCGTGAAAGAGATATTCTCTATCCCTGCTTTTCCTGCCCTTTCCATGCCTCCCTGCCTTCTGCGTTACTTGCCTCTGTTATCCAAGATATCATCTATGACCAATCAAGTCCAATTCAAACCCTCCATCCCCTATTTCTTCAAGGTCATCGTCATCATCATCATCATCATTCTCTTCCTCACTCTCTTCTTCCCCACTCTCATCATCCTCATCGTCCTCATCTATTAGATCCCTAATAGAGGTGTGCCCATCCTGAGGAACTGGAACTAACCTTCTCGGCGAGCGTCCCAGGAAACCCAGCACGTCTTCTAGCGTCACCATGTCCTCTCCCCACCGACTTTCCTCATCGTCATCGGTGTAATCGTCAGAATTATAATCTGCGCTCGTTGTCACCCCAGGTCCAGCTGCTTCGTTTATTGACCTGCCTCTTGTTCTCCTCCTCGTCGTCCTTGTCGTTGTCATCCCGGGGATGGCGCGATCTGGAATCATGGTGTTATTTGCCGCGCCGGAAGGAGCAGATGCTGAGTAACCGCCGAACCCCACCAAGGCGGCGGCTGAAGCGAGGACGGCGGCGGCTGTGGCAGCTGGGGAGGAAGGAGCGAAGGAGGAGGGGCGAGGGAAGTAGGTAGATGGTGAAGGGGTGGTGGGTAGGTTGGAGGTGGACGGATGTGGTTGGTCGGCGGAGGAAGAGGATGGAGATTGTCGGTTTCGGTTGGCGAATAAACCTGCTAGGGCTGAACGCCGTGGTGGTGAAATCGGGTCGGAGTGGAAAATACTTCTGTTTTGTTGTCCGTTCGTGTCGGGATATTGAGGATCCAGTCCTCGAGCAGCTGATAGTCGTCTACCGCCGGCTGTTGCCACGTTGTCAAGGGCAACTGGCAGCATACTCACACCCTGCGCTCCGTTGTTGGCATCACTCGACCCAGTGGCAGCCCTGGGTTCCTCCTCACCCTGGTCGCCATCCACACCAGGCATATGGAGCAGCTTATGTTCGACCGTGTTATACGAGTGACAGACTGAACACTTCAGTCCCAACCAGTGGTACCTTGTCTGGCTTTTTGCACTGCAGTCGTTGCACGAAATGACGGCCCGGGCATCCTGGTACTCGTCGGGCATGGGCTGGGTGGCGATGGCGATGTCAAGGTTACGAAACTGGATCTCCATGTTGACGCAGCTCTTGTTGCAGACCGGACATCTGTACGATCTTTCCCGGTGCGCGCTGAAACAGTGTTTATGGATGGTATGGCCACATTTCATGATTGCAACCGGTCGCGGAGAGTTAAACAGGTAATCGCCGCAGATGGGACAGTCGCAGTCGGTTGACCGTTCGATACATCGGTGCTCGTCGCGCGTGGAGACGCATGCTGAGCATTTCTGATCACCAAGAACCGTCAGTTCATGTTGGGTCAAAGGGGCCATCCATTTCTTCACACGAGCTTCAAGCGACTCACCTTGCAATGGAAAAAGTCTTTGCCCAAGCCCAGCCCAACTCGGCAGAGCCCACAATCGTTGCAGTGATAGATTGGTTTGTTCCGATCGTCGTTCCACAATTTGCAAATATTACAATAGTAAGAGGCCGCTGACTGGTTACAACCAACACAAGTCTGCGAGGCCTTTTGGGTTCGACCGCACAACATGCACAACATGTGACGTGTTTCCCGCCGCGGCAAGGTGTGATCTTCCACCTCATCGTGACAGAGCCGACAAGTATACCACCGATCACAGGCGGCGCATTGCAGCTTCACATTGCGCCGGTAGTGTTTGCAACCGAGTCTGAGAACGGGCTGACCGTTCTCGTCCAGATCCTCGGTTTCTTCCTCGGGTTGTATCCCCTGCGCAATCGCGTATGCGAGACTGACATCGAGTTCTCGCACCCCGTATTCGTCGCGTTTCGGGACGGTTTTGGGGGCATAGGTCGGCTTCAGATCCTCCTCTGTAACGTGGATGTTCAGGGTATCCTCGTCACTAAATCCGCTTTCGCCCGCGAGAGGATTCCAGAACTTCAAGGCCGTTTGCAACGGGCCAAAGGAATCACGATCCCGGTTCGATGGTCGATCGCGGCTATGGCTCTGCGCGCTACGAGCGCTCTTGACGCTGTGCACACTACGCACGCTCCGACCGCTGGGCGATTCTGGGCGCATGCCCATAGTACCATCATGCGCATGTGGAGACTGTTGATAATACTCCTCCGTCATGACCTGATGTATCAGCTGCGCCTTGAGGGCCTGCGAGATGTCGGCCTGATTTTGAATCGCCTGTATCCTCTTCCTCAATGCGCTCTTGCCGTCATCTTCTGGTAACTCCCCGGTCTGGGATCGAGCGTCGGAGTCCACCTGGGAGGGGATACGAGGAAGCGTGAGGAAACTCTGTTGCGCTGCTTGCGCAGTCCATTCTGGCGCCAGCGCAGAGATCGGCGAAGTTAACGACGGTCGCGCCGGCGGCGTCGATTCGTATGCCGCTGCGGATATTGGCGGAACTGGAACTTGTCCTGTGTGCTCTGCTGCTGGAGTGGCAGTTGCGACATCGGCGGCTTCCCCTAACCTCGAATGCGAACTTGATGCGGCGTTGGTTGGTGTGGTTGTTGTTACAACAGCCACCGGCTGCGCTACGGTTCTGCCAACAATAATCCCATCCAGACTTCTCCTATAGTTCTCGTCTCCGTCCTCAAACACCGATTCGGGCAGCGCGGCCCCATCAGATCTCGTTCTCTGGTGTTGCGAAGTGGAAGACGGCGTGGGTATATCGGGCTCTTCAGCGGCAAACCCTGAGGAAAATCGCCGAACTTGTCGTTGTGCTCCTCGAAGCAAATCAGAGACTAAGGTGGCCATAGCAGGTCATGCGGTTGTCGCAGACCTTGTTTCCAAGTTTCTTCCTTAGGGTCGGCTTTGTCGGACGTAAACGTACAGCGGCAGCGAGACTGACTGGGATCGTCGGACAATGTGATGTCGAGAGAAGGAGCAAGGGCGAGCGCGGTGGCGATTACGAAGTAGGCGGAAAGGAAAGAAAGCAAAAGAGATGGCAAAACGCCAGGAAGGTATGTGTGCTGAAGAGCTAGAATAAGCCAGTATATACGGAAGACTAAATTATGCTAACAAGCGCAATAATGTCAATTAACAAGAGTATGTAAAGGTGTTGTGTGTATCCATGGGTGGGTATCATCCATCAAAGTTCATGTTTGGGGGAGACAGATGTTGGACGAGGGAAGCGGAAATAGTGAAGAACGAAATGTCGGTCGAGCTGTGGCAGACGCAAATGACAAATGGCACGATGGCTCGATGGGTGGGTGCAGTGAGACCGAGACTGGAGTGGTCAGTCAGTCGTCGTGTTCCTGCTTGTCTTTTTTTCCTTTCGGATTTCGGGCAGATCATGTCGTCAACTCGCCCGCCATTGTCCTCCGTCCCGGTGGAGAATCGACACGATGGCTCTTGCCTTGAGGTTTCCACTCATTCAGCATCTCGCCATCGTTGTTGCCATGCCAAGGGCATGTTCCCCGCCAATGATCGCGGTGCAACAGCTTGTGACACGGCAGCGGCTTTCCCCTGTCTGGCTGTTAGGTAAGTAACACCTGCTGTCTTGCGCCTTCACGTGTCCGCCTGTACCGACGCTACGCCAACGAAGGCCCTGGTGAGATGTCCGTCTCCCGCATCTGCAACAACACGCGACTTTACTTTCTTACTGCCACGCGACAGCAACAACAGTTCAATGCAATTCACCGACCTCACCTGTGTACACCTGTGCAGTGTGAGAGAGACGAGCGTTGACTTGTTGCGTTGCCCACGTGGCTGATCACTTTGGCAGACATGCAGATGATCCGTCCGTTTCCTCGGAAGGCCGGCCGTCGAGGGCTGGGGCCTGGCTGGCAAGCTGGTGGGGTGATTAGCGGACCGAACGGACCATAACGGCCCGGACCTCCCGGAGTGGACGAGTAGTGTAAAGACCCGGCCGGACACGGTCACTGTCGGGCAACTTGTCCGTCCCCGTGATCAGTTTGAACCCATTCTCATATCAGGGTCACGACCACGTCAGAACGAAGCATGCTGGCAGCAGGTTGAAAAGAGAAGAAAGGAAACTCATTGTTGTCGTTGGTGGAAGAAGAACGGAAAGTGTCAGAACCACGACCACAACTGTGCATCTCCTCCCAAACAACCCAGCACGGCCCCAGAATCGGTTACAGAAGCGACGGGACCTGAGCTGCAGCTGCCAATGCGGGGCAACCTGTGGGGTTACGACGGCAACGGCTCTGATCTGGATGTTGTTGCACAACTTTAAGCAACTGGAGTGCAGACTGCAGATGAAAGGAGCAACTTCCAGCTCGGCACATGTTGTTAGTGCAGTGTGTTATGGTAACCGATGGTGACAGGGACAGAGGAACCGACCTTGGCTGGCGACCAACTGATTCACAAAGACCCTTGTCTCATTTTTGGCGCCTTAACATGCATCTCTAGCCCAAAGGTACCTAGCCATCGCCAAATAGTAGCCGTGAGTGTGTAGTATACAGTGCAGTGCTCGAAAAGGAAACTTCCGTCCTGGGCATGTTCAGTTCTTGGTGTGTTGCTTCAAGCTCCATGCAGGGGGACTGAGTGAGAGAAATGTAACGGAGAATCGATTTCTATTTGGATGGGCGATAAAGGGAACGCCCGTCGTAATCTCAATCACCATTCCTCGTTATGCTCTGAAACCCCCTTTGGGACGGGGGCTGTCCCTGGCTGAGCTGGGACTTCACACACGTTACCCAAGGTTACTAAGGTACACTCTCAAGTTACATGCCTCTACATGGTACTTGTTGTCGTCCACTTGGCCCCCGCGTTTCCCTTCCGCGTGACGATTCGGTTGCCCGGACCCAGCTTGCCAGGACGGGCCTGAAATGGCCCTGTCATTTAACACATACAGTCAGCTCCCCTGTTCCAGCAACAGTTGGACGGAAAACTACCCTTTTTGAAAGGGTAGGAAGCGCAATCCTAAAATAGAAACACCGGATGGGAAAATTCACTGTCGATTTGTACGTACCTATGGTAGGGTATGGAAAGGTGAAACCAGGAAAAACTGAAGGGGTCTACCACAGGGCAAAACTGGCTTGGCGTGCCAGTTTTGGTCACAGTTGAAAGGCAAGTGGTCTGTGCACGTCACCACTATGGTCAGATGTTTGGGGTTGCTAGGTGGAACAGGGGACCGGGCCAACTGGAACTGCTGTCTTGTGGGTGATCCTGCTGGATCATAAACTTGACGGGACCGAACTGTGCGTATCCGGTGCATGTACGGTAGACGGTAGTAGTACCCCTGACGTCGACTGACATACCTAGAGGAACCTATATACCGTAGTGTATATGCTGCCGTCTTTACTGGAGGTTCATCCAATATATCCAGGGCATTCTTGACGCTGGTTCTAAACAGCAACCCAGGAACCTCCACGGATGGATGCCAGCGAGGGTACGGTTATGGCTTCTCTAGGTAGATAAGGCAAAATCTCACACGCGTCCGTGAAACATTTGTTGCTCCAATCTTGTCTTTCTTGGCTCGGGCCCAGTGTCGTCACATCGCTATCCCGCCTAACAGAAATGCAAGTACTTGGTATGACGTTTGGCTAAGGTAGGCTGTGCATCTGCAATCCACCCAACCGTCGCCTCTCTGGGCCACGGCAGCTAACAGGGCAGGTTGCCGCACTCCGACAGCAACAGCACCCTGACTTCACCTAGCAAGCACTTTTTGCTTTTTCTGGGCGTGTGGTGTAACATCACAGGCGACAAATTGGACCCGGACGTCTCAAACCCTTCATCGGGCTGTGCTTATTTTTTTATTTTTTTAATGGCAGCACCGCCTCAGTCCATCGTTGTTTCCTCATCCATGACACATTTCCTGATCCAAAACCATATCCGAGTCCATATTCCTCCATTCGTCTGTGTGACCCGACAATACCCTCGTTCGCCAGCCAACATCTTCCACCACTCTCTCTCTCTCCGGCCATCGCAATCCAGTCCGACCATTGCCTTTGTGTGTTCAGCAACTCGCGCAACGATATATCCACTTCACGCTCTCCCGACGACAAGCGCGATCCTAGCCGGCCGTCAAGGTCAGTCAATGCAAAACCAGACAGGTAAAGGCTAGGAATTCATTTCTTTACCTTTCATCGTCTGGAGCTTTGACGATCTGCGCTCTTTCGATCCGATCCGCCGTGTCATGACTGTCATCGCTTCAGGCCAGCCTTCAATCTCCCTTGTGGTCCGAAACTTTTGTTGTCGACAGGTTCCATCTCATTCGCCATGTAAAATCGCGTATCAGACAAATTGGAAGCCACTACGGACAATCAAATAATCGGTTACTTTCCTCATTTCCATGACTTGGTGCATACCTAGGTAGGGTACCCAAGGTATACTCGGAAACTACCATCCATTCCACTTTGGAACTGAAGCACGCATTCCATCTTTCTACTTCCCTTTTACCTTCATCCTAGGACATTTATTTTCCCATTCGGCTGCATCTATTAGTTACTTCCTTCAGACTGCTGCCACACACCAGTCAACAACAACAACAAAAAAAAGAGCTTTGCAGGTCACAGCTACCTACCTACCTTCCTACTTCTACTTCTTCTACATAGCTGAGCTCATCCATTACTGGCTACAGGCCTAGCCCCTGGTGAAGGTGTCATTGAGCGTACGCTACATTGCGTTGCCACTGGTTGTCACTGACTGCCGCCCTGTTGATGATTTCCTAACCGACTTGTGGTTGCCACCATCATCTAACTATCGATTTTACACTACTTTCATTTTCCCTCTCGGAAGGACCCGACTCATACACACACAGATTTGACACAATTTTTCTTTTATTTATTTGTTATTTTTCTTGGAAGGCTCAATCATCAAGATGGCCGTCTATACCCCCCGAGCACGGTCTACGCGAGAAGGTACCATGAATATCAACGACACCTCCATGCCTCCTTCGATGGCGGTCTCGACCACTTCGCCCTTTTGGCCATTGGGGCCTTTTCCCAACAGAGTGGATTCCCACGCCAACTCGCACCCGCTCCCGCACCAACTCCAGCATCCGCCTCAAGATCCGCTTCAGCATCCACAAGGGCCGTTTTCACAGGGATCCTCGCAGCAGCAACAGCAACAGCAACAGCAACAGCATCCGCAGTGGCACCCGCACCCGTTTCCGCAGTCGCACCGTGCCTTTGGTCCTCCGCCGAGCTCTGGCAGTATCATCACTACAAACAACTTGAACCGAAAGTATAGCAACGGCAACAACAACTTGAACGGCAACAGCCCCGGCAGCGGAAACGGGAGTTCCAACGTGAGCGTCAACCGGCCACCCACCGCAAACGTCCAGGTCCGCCGCCGTCCTCATGCTGCCACGACCGCCGGTCGATTTCGAAGTGCCGTCAGAGTTCCGGACCTCCCTGTCTTGAACAACTTGCGCATCACCAGCAACACAGGCAACACCAACGTCGACGATTCCAGCTCATCTGACGAGGGCTTCCGCTCTTCAGCTGCTCGTCCTCAGAGACCAGAGCATCGACGCTCCATGAGCCATCCATTCCCGTCTCTGTTCTCGAGCAAGAAAAAGAAGTCATACCAGATGTATGCTGGCGATTCCGGGTCCGAAACGGTAGACGACGCCGGTTATGCGCCCAAGCTCGGTACCATCAGGCCTTCAACACAGCATTCTCGTAATCATAGGAATGTTCCTTCTACGGGCAACAAGGACTATAGCACGGGAAATTGCATGACGTGCGGTTGCTTGGTGCGATGGCCCAAGGAGCTTTCTGTCTTCAAGTGTACCATTTGTTTGACCGTCAACGACCTACAGCCATCCAGCTCAGGTCAAGGGCAAGGGCAGGGTCCTAGGCGGGATGCTTCCCGAAACTCACCTCCCGCAGCGGAAGAGCGAGTCTTGTCTCATGGTAAGAAACTCCTCTATCTGATATGACTGTTCGCTCACTCACTAAAACCTGCCTAGAACGACCAATTTCTTTGGGTCATACAAAGTCACTGGCCACACAATGTCTGCGTTCATTTCTTTCGTCTGCTCTACGCTCAAAATCGGGCCGACAAGCAGATGTGCAGCCAGACTCTTATTTTACCCTGGCAAAGGTTCCTTCGCAAGATCAGCAGGAAAGTTCGCTTTCGCCACCAAGTGGTCCAGGAAGGGTGCCGCCGGCAACAAGCAGGGCGGTAGGCGTGAGCCCACAACCGCAGCGCGATGGGTTAACGGTCCCAAACACTGACCTGGATCCTCAACAGCGTTCCAATAGAACGCCTCGGTCATACTCATCGTCCTATCCCGAAAAACGACCGGCCATTCCTGATCTCGGCCTCCAAGCACCTGGTCCTCAGGCGAGCCCACAGATTGCGAACCCCGAGATAGATTCGAGGCGGATGTTCAAACGGCTTGAGGATTATATAATCAGCTGCTTCACCTCGTATCAGTGTTTGAATACTTCGTTTTCGACAACCCGCCCGTCTCACCAGCCTAGACCTAGTGGCGAACCAGAGCGTAGACGTCGACCAACGCAGTCGCAACCTCAGCCCCGACCTCAGCCCCCACCCATGCCTCAACCCGAGGCCCGCAAAGACTCGGTTACTACAGAACAGCCGTTTGTTGAACTGGACGCCAAAATGCTTTTGCTGGGGGACTTTGCGGAGAATGGTCTCTGGTGGACGGGAGGACACGAAGAAAAGGTACCAGGGAGGTCATCGTCCAACCGGAGCGATCCTGGCGCGTCTGCAGTAAGCCCAAGAAGTCCTCGAATTGACTGGGCGGAAGTAGAGGAGTGGTATACGGCAGTGCTTGACGCAGTGCGGTCCTGGCCCAAGTTTTACGATGAGCTTGTCAGTGAGGATTCCAGTCTCGCTGTGCCTCCCGAAGCGCTTAAGGAGATCGAAGCACAGTTGCTTGTGGGACAGGACCATGTTCATAGGTCGCTTTTGAGGGCTAGCGAGACGATTATGAAACGGCCCGGACGCCTGATGACTGCGCCTCATGAGCTACGGTTTATTCTCATTCTTGCCGCTAACCCACTGCTTCATGCCTATTACAAGCCATATACCGGCGAATTCCGGCATATGGACTCATTTTGGTCTGCTCAGGGCGGTCCCTCTTCTGGAAGGCATTCCGGAATCATAAAGCGTATCGTCGGTCTCCTGTCTAACAGTCCCAACGAGTGTCACAATCATCTCGTCAACTGGTTTGCGAGGTACCCAGAACCGCTTTTCATAAAGACAAAAGATCTCATTTCGAGCTTCTTAGCATTTCGACTTAACCGACAGAATGAAAAGAAGTACGATGCCAGAGTGGATATTACCGCCGGTTTGATTCCAAGTCTGAATGCTGGCAGGTCTGCGGCCTCACTTCACGCTGCGTTGGGATCTTCACAGGCATCAGGAAAGAAGCAGAAAGAAAAGAAGAAGATATACAATGAAGATTGGCAGATCAAGGCCTCGGCGCAAGTTCTTGCGCTGATTTTCGCCGCCAACAACACGGGACATTCACGGCGCAGCCTCGCCAATCTTACGGATGGACCGGTGGCGAGCACAAGGGATCGGGTCCAAATGCGTGGGCAAATTCTTGCCACAAGCGATTTCTACACCACTCTTCTTGACGACTCCGACCTCGTGGCGGATTTTGAAACATGGGAGTCGAAAAAGGGAAAGTTTGCCTTTTGTCAGTTTCCCTTCCTTCTTAGCATAGGCGCCAAGATCCAAATTCTCGAGTATGACGCGAGGCGGCAGATGGAAGACAAGGCAAGAGACGCCTTTTTTAACAGCATCTTGACCCATCGTGTTATTCAGCAGCACCTGGTGTTGAATGTTCGCCGGGATTGCCTGGTTGATGACAGCCTCAAGGCTGTGAGCGAGGTGATCGGTAGTGGCGGGGAGGACATCAAGAAGGGCTTGAAGATCAATTTCAAAGGAGAAGAGGGTATTGACGCTGGCGGTTTGCGGAAGGAGTGGTTCTTGCTCCTTGTCCGTGAGGTGTTCAATCCCGATCATGGTAAGTCCACATCTGTTGAAAACCAACTTTAGTCGTCCTAACCTTGTTCTAGGGATGTTTGTCTACGACGAGGACTCCCAGTACTGCTACTTCAACCCCGCCTCTCTTGAGCCATCCGAGCAATACTTTCTAGTCGGCGTCGTCTTCGGTCTCGCCATATACAACTCCACCATCCTCGACGTCGCCCTGCCACCGTTCGCGTTTCGGAAACTCCTCATGGCCGCACCGCCTGCCACGCTGGCCACGTCCCAGCCTCGCCAACCCATGACGTACAGTATCGACGACCTCGCAGAATACCGCCCCCGCCTCGCCAGCGGCCTACGCCAGCTCCTTGAGTACGACGGAGACGTCGAATCCACCTTTTGCCTCGACTTCGTCGTCGACATCGAACGCTACGGATCCACCGAGCGCGTCAGCCTCTGCCCCAACGGCGAACGCCGCCCCGTGACCAACGCCAATCGCCGCGAATACGTCGATCTGTACGTACGCTACCTGCTAGATACGGCGGTGACGCGCCAGTTCGAGCCTTTTAAACGGGGGTTCTACACCGTCTGCGGCGGCAACGCCTTATCACTCTTCCGGCCCGAAGAGATTGAGCTGCTGGTCCGAGGCTCGGATGAAAGTCTGGATATCTCGGCGCTCAAGTCGGCTGCTACCTACGATAATTGGAGTACGAAGAACCCAGTGGAAACGGAGCCGACGGTTAGGTGGTTCTGGGAACTTTTCGAGGAGGCGTCCCCCGCAGATCAAAGGAAGTTGTTGCTGTTTATCACGGGTAGTGACAGAATACCCGCAGGAGGGGCGGCGGCGCTATCGATTCGGATTGCGTGCCTGGGCGAGGATTGCGGGCGGTATCCGACGGCGAGGACGTGTTTCAATTCATTGGCGCTGTGGAAGTATGGAAGTCGGGAGCGGCTGAAAGAAGTCTTGTGGACGGCGGTGTTGGAGAGTGAAGGATTTGGGTTGAAGTGAGGGGGGAATGATGAAGGATGATGTTATGCTTGGTGTGTTTGTGTTGGTATGAAAGAGTTGTGGATGTTACGGAACAGGAGTTTCTCTACATGGCTTTTTTTCCTTTTTGGTTACCCTGCATATCCCAGACCGGAAGAAAGGAGGCAAAGAGAAAACTGCATCATTATCATCGGCATCAGATAAGAAAGAAGATAGCGGAAAGCAAGCCAGATAAATTCATTCGTGTAGCGTCCATCCTTTGAATAAGCCGATACACAACTCCACGCTACCGTTGATTGAGGAACATGATTATTTATGTATGACAGCTACCATCGAAGCCAGTTTTGAGCCACCATCACAGCACGTATATTGGGGGTGAAGTGTATAAAAGGCGTTGGGAAGAGTACTTGTCAAAAGATGAAATGGTGAAGAGGAGGAGGAAGAAGTCAGTTTAGACACCCACTTGTACATCGAAGTAAAGTGATGGGCCGGGGCTCATATGAGATGACAGTCCATTCAAATTGGATGAAAAGATAATAAACATGTGATACAAGGTTTTGATTCAAACAGTGCCGGTGTGTATTTCGTCACAACAACGACTTGGTCGTGATCCAAATGTATTTATTTCCTCATCATTGGTGTAGTACCAAGTCTACGCATCTAATTCCCCCTCAAACTCCATACTGTGAAACCGCTCATGAGCAGATAATGCAAATAAAGGAATGAAGTGGTTGCATAGTGGACAACTAATACCATCACCACCATCACTGTCACCATTGACACCCATACCCTCGGCGTCTCTGAGGTCGTCGTAGTCCAGATCATCATCATCTTCTTCTTCTGCGGCTTCTTCTTCATCATCGTGATTCCACACATTGTCTGGTGAATCATCCCAGACTTCGTCGTCGTCTTCGATGTGAAAGTAATGGTTGGTTGACATTATTGGACCCAAGTGGTTCGTGTCGCGGTCGGCTTGTGCTTGTGTTTGCTCGTGGATGTTGGAGACGGAATGTTGTTGTTGATGGTTAGTGGTGCTGGGGTCCCCATTGTCGTTATCGTTGTCCTCCGCCGACCCTCTTGCTTTTCCGTTGGAGGATTCATAGCTTGTATCACTCATGTCCAAGTTCAAGTCCGGGTCCTGGCTTAGGTCTTCTGCATCCAAATTATCCAGAGATTCAGCTTCAGTTTCAGGTTGGGTTCCGGTGTTGTCGGCGTGCTCATGTTCGGGATCGTAAACGGTGAATTCTCTCGCCCTTATAAACATGTTTTTGATATCCTTTCCTGCTCCGCTGCCGCCGCCACCGGTTGTGGGATCAATCGAGTCCATGTTCGTCACGCAGACGTTTAGCAACCCGATGCTATACCCCTTTTCCCCTTTTCTCGGGTTAAGCGGGTTAAGTTCGCGAAACATCGGTAGCAATGTCTCGGCGACAAGTCTCTGGATAATCTCGTCGTCACCATGGGCGTTACCGTGACTGTTACTGCCTGCAATGGTAAAGACGTAGCCAGGCAGACCCTGACTTTTCGAGACCCTCCCATAGCCATACCCTCTCCCCTCTCTCGGGTCCGTCCTCGGTCTCGTTGTCAACCGTAGCGTCTTAGGCCTCGCTAGCCACCTCTTTTTGTCGTCGTCCATCAGATCCGTCTTCATTCTCTTTAATAATGACCCAGTGATCTTCACCAGTTCCCGCCGGACTTGCTCGATGGTGACCAAAGGACAAGAGAAATAAGTATCTTCGATGCTGATTTGCGTGGGGAGCAAGCGAGCGGGTTTGACGGGGGAGGAGTCGTGGCCATGGAGGAGGGAGAAGATGTGTTTGCCGATTCCTGTTCCTGTACCTGAGGAGGAAGAAAGTGAAGAGAGGAGGGAGTCGAGTTTTGATGGTGATAGGCCGGGACAGGAGAGGAGGTCGTCGACGGTGATTTCTTTGGGGTTTGGGGGTGAAGATGAGCCAGGCTTGGACTGGGAAATGAAATAGTCCGAGAGAGCAGCGGCCGTTTTCCCTCCGATCCCGGGTACTTTTCTCAGTTGGTGACTGCCCATGAATCTTTGAACAGTTTCTTCGCCGTCGTCGGGCCCGAAAGACAAGAGGGTCGTCTGGTTCCGGGGTTTGTTCACGTTACCGACCAACTTGGCGAGAAGTTTGTTCGTGGATATCCCGCAGGCGGTGGTGTACCCTTCTTCTTCGATTTTTAGACGGAGGTGAAGAGCCAAGTGAGAGGCAAGGAGGAGTTTCGTTCTCAACAACCCAGCCTGTCCATCTCCATATCCCCCAGTCCCAGACCCCTCAAGACCAACATTTTCCCTCCCATAAACTTGCCCAGCAAACACCCTCGCATCAAACGCAAACCCCTTCTCCGGATCCTTATTGTCTAAACAAAACCACGAGTGCTCCAAGTCATGGCGGTTCAGCAGTTCAACATTATACTCAACCATATCACTTACATCCAACCAGACTTCATCCAGACCCAGTCTTTCGACTCTGTCATTCCACGAGTACGAGCGCAATAGGGCGTAAAGACGCTTGGAGACGTCCCGAAAGGGAGTCAAGTCTTCGCCGTCGACGATGACCAGGTCCGAGCAGATGGCTAGGGCGGAGGCGATGGACATGAGCTTCTTGACGCCGAGACGGCGCGCGGGGTAGTTGCATGTTGCTAGCAGGGACTTTTGGCGGATACCGAGGGGGAGGGATTTGAGAGAGGGGGTTTTGTTTTCGTAGACCTTGGAGGGGAGTTAGTAAGTAAGGTGGTTAGGGGAGGTGTACATCAGGTTGGGGTGTTTTAGTTGAAGAACTGAAGGCTTCTTTGTTTACACCATGGGTCTGAAGCGAATAGGGGAGGGTGTGTGTGAGTGGGTAGGTGGAATTCAAAACCTACTTACCTGGGCGTAGAAGCAATCGAGATCCTACAGACGAAGATTCACACAGACAGACAGACAGTCAGACCAGTTCTTGCACCACATTGTGTCTACAATTGAATGATGCATAAAGAATAGTAGGGAAGGATGCTGTACAAAATGGAGGATGATTCGATCATGGTGCTTGATTTTCGACTTTTTCCTAGGATGATCCATCGCGGGTACTGTAAGCCGCATCACGAGGACGCGGTGATGCTTTTCACGTCTTGCGATGATGGGTCCGTCTCTCCCCCAGTCTGTCCCATGTCTTCTTCTCCAGTCCTCTGCTGTTTTGTGGGGAGGTGGCCGGGCTTGCTTGCTAGGGTCCGGTAGCAGTTGGGCTAAACACGATGTGAATGCACCGTGAGTTGGTGTTTCGAAAAGTTGTGTTGAGTTGTGGTTGGTGGTCTTGCGTTTTGGCGCCGTTTTGGAGGTTGCAATGGGTCGAGACGGGATGTGACAACTGTAAAGAGTGGAGATTGTGGAACGCTAAGCGTTGTGCTCCACTCGTCATTTTGGGCTTATTGCAATTGGCTCCCGGTACGCCTTGCCGCACAGACCAATCCCGAACGCCCTAGCGGCTCAATTGTGATGGTGTCCATAGGTGTAGGGTTACCACAGAGCGCCGATGGGATGGAATGGGATGGACGGCACTGAGAACCCATGGTACGGGCGGGTGAGAGGATGGTTTTTGACTGAGATTGCCGGCCGTGACAGCGAATGACAGCGACCACGGCGCTTAGTTGCAAGGCAGCCCCGAAGGAAGCTGGTCCCGGTCACTGTGATGATCATCGGCCTCTGTAGCGTGAATTAGGCGATCCATCAGCCCAAAATGGGAGGAACCCTCACCCCAAATGGGAAAGTCCAATCTTGAGTCCAGTGCACTCGCCAGCATGCCGATTGATGACGACGGGAAGAGGAATGGGCAAGAGCAGTCCACGATGGAGTTGGAGAGATGGAGGTGTGGAAAGTAAGATCGGTGCCAATCTCCCCCTTCCTTCCACTCTTGGTAGAGGTAGAGGTAGTCTCCCAAGGCTGCTGTCTCCTCCTCCCTCTTCAACCTCATCTCGCCTCCTCTTTTCAATCCCGTTCCCGGACAGTTTCCATCCGATTCATATCATTGTGTAGGTAGTTAGAGCGAGGTAGGAATTGGAAACGACACACCTCACTACACTACACAATGTCGTCCTCAGTCTAGATCGCTCGCCCGCCCGCCCAGTCCCTTCTTCCTCCTCCTCCTCCACCCACACACGCCCGGCTGCTGCATCTTGCATGAGGCTGCTTCCCTAGGTTGAATACCTACCTCAAGGTTACAGTCACGATATTTCCACTTTTGGCGGCACTTCGACCTCATCGCCCGCCTGAGCCAAGACTGCAGACTTTTTGAATCCCAGTCCATCCAGGGCAGGATTGAAGACTTTTCCCCGCCAGAGCCAATTCAATTTAGTTACAATCACTCTTTCGCTTTCCCTCCCTCTCTTTCTCTTTGCTACTGCAATTTCTTCTCTCTCTCTCTCTCTGGCCCGTTCACTCCCTACATATTGTAAGACTGACCGGACCATCTCGATTTGATTGCAATTTTGCTTGCTTGCGCAAAGTGGAAGGTTCAGTTCTTTGCTGGACGTGCGCTGTTTGTGTGTTTTTGTGCAAAGACACTAACAAAGTCAAATCTTGTAGCAGCGTTACCACGGGAACCTTCACAACAAGGCAACAAATATCCACATACACACTGACAGTTTTCAAACAAGTCACGCAATCTCTACCTTTGCACTTGATCTTGGCCAATTTACAAGTTCGGACGGAAAGCTCAAACTTTCCTCGTCGTCTACGCTACTTCCGTCACCATTATCGCTTCTCTTACAACCCGCCGCGGCCTTGGCTAAGCTCGGGCTTGGAGATCAAGGCATCACCATTGATCCTCCTCCTCGCCACTTACATCACTCCACACGCAAAAGAATTTTGGAATATTCTTCACCATATCCGACGACGACGACTACAATCAAGTTACTATCATCAATCTTTCACCACACCGTCGATTCTTTTACAAGCCACTGCCGACGCCCACTGCAACTGTACACCACCGATATCGAGGACAACGTGCTGGCTCATGTTCTTCCCCCTTGCTTCGGACTTGGAAACAGACTAACCTCGGCCCGGCTTCCCAACGGCCAATGGCTACGAGATGGCATCCACTCCTTCGAACCGACACAAGCTTACGCCCGCCAGCTCTCCCTTCGTCACCAGGACTTCTAGGTCCCCAGGTCCTCAACGGTCTCGTGCCATCAATGAGACCTGCTTGTCCCTCAGGCGTGTCATAGGCACCACTTGCTCCTCGCCGACCGGCTTCGATTCCGTCCACTCCTCTTTCGCCTACATTGCTGGCGGAGCTGTTGTAGTGGTTGACGTATCCGGCGAGCATTATTCCCAACGCTTTTACCGAGCCCGTCCCTCGGCAGTCCCCGTCTTTGCCCTTTCACCCGTCTCCCACACTACCGCGGCGAATGCCAATCCGACACCGAAAGCCAATGACAGTAGGAACAGGACTACCGCTTCACAGAGGGAATTGGCTTATCAGACAGCCGACTCTTCACAGACTTGGACAAGTCGCGAGCGCATAAAGGCTGCCACTTGCCTTGGCCTCAGTCGGGATGGACGATACCTGGCTGTGGGTGAAACGGGCTATGCCCCTCGCGTCCTTATCTTCAACCTCCAAGATGCCTCTTCCGATACGCCATTGGTGTCCATCAGTGAACATGCATTTGGAGTCAAGGCCGTAACATGGTCACCAGACACAAAGTTTTTGGCTTCTCTGGGCGCTGCCAACGATGGGTTCCTTTACATATGGAAGGTTGACACGAGAACTGGCGCCGCCAGGCTCTTTCAACAAAACCGCTGTACCTCTCACGTCAAGGGTATGGTCTGGATGGGCAACAATTTGATCACATTGGGTGTCCGTCACATCAAGGTTTGGAGGGTTGAAGAACCTCCGCCGCCTGTCTCTCCGATGAAGGCCAAATTTTCCCAACAGGAGGTGGCCTGTTCAGCCGCCCAGCTGGCCCAGAAACCATTGCCTGGCCGAAATATTCTGTTGGGTTCCATGCTGGACGCCACGTTCAGCTGCGCTCTTGCACTTGATGAAAATAGAGCCATCATCTGCTCAGAAACGGGCAGTATCTGTCTCTTGGATGACACCAACAAGCAAATGAAACTAACACGACTACTGGATCTGAACTTCCACGTTAGCTGCATATCGATGAGGAATGAAACGCTCTACATCGGCGGGAAGGATGGTCAGCTATCAACCCTCGCACTCGATGGTGTCTTGGAAGGCACCCCTGACCCCACAATTCACAATCCTCATACGTCTGACGGCCTTGTCGCCCTGGGATTCCTCGCCGACAACTTCGTCACGATTGACAGCCGCCGAACGATCAACATTTGGAGTCCTGATCATATTCCGGCCGTATCATCCGACGACCCGCACCACATTCCAATTCCTGGCGCCGGCGACATTGTTGGAATACAAGAGCTTCCTGGGTTAAACGGCGCGGACTCATGCTTCGTCACCTGGTCTGCCTCTGGAAGGATCAATATGTGGAACCTGGACGGCCTGATCAAGTTAACACTTGATGTTCCCGTGGACCAGGTGGAGAACAACACCGATGGCGAGCAACCGGCCAATCAGCTAGTGGTGGTGAGAGCCACGAACGATGGGAGTCTCTTTGTTGTGGGAGACAAGCTTGGCGTTCTTCGCATCATTGACGCCTCTACGAGAGTTTGTTTACTCGAAACGAAGGCACATTCCTCCGATTGCCAGGATATTGCCATCTTCGAGGACGAGTCAAGGCTCCTTATCGCATCATGCGGCAGAGACCGCACAGCTCAATTGTTTCACCGAACATCCTCCGGTGCATTTGATCACTTTCAAACGCTGGAATTTAGCGCCAAGGTCGTCCAGGTTTTGATACCCTCCCGCGACAAAGTCCTCACTTGCTCGCTGGACCGTACCCTTCAGGTACACGATCTGGTTACGAAAGAGAGTGACCCTGATGTCATGGCAGCCATTTCTTCAAGGGTTATTACGCTACGGGCTTCGCCATCCTCAATGGTGGTAACACCTCTTGGAAAGTCAATCTTTGTATCACTTTTGGATCGCTCAGTTTGTCATTTTGACTACAACAATGGACGGCTCTTGAACTCGTTCAAATGCCACGATGAAGGAGGGTCCGAGACCGTTGTTTTGGAGTCACTAAAGTATGGCCAAACCGGGGGGACATGGGCTTCTTGCTTGGCATTTCCAACACAGACAAATCTATCCGGGTATACGACGCTCACTCTGGGACCTTCATGGGCCGTGAATGGGGTCACACGGAAGCCATCAACGGTGTGGTCATGGTCGAGGGCGGGCAGGTTGGTAGAAAGATTATCAGTGTCGGAGAGGATGGGACTATCATGGTTTGGGGACTGGATATACAGTTTCCAGTGACTGGTTCCAGGAACCGCGATCCTTCGCCTGACAAGACCGCCAGCTCAAGGGCCAACCACCCGTCTGCACACAGTCGACCGCCACTCAGGAGGGTGTTATCAAAGGCTGAGCTAGCCGAGTTTCAACGACCATCTTCATCCCATGCCGGCAGCAGCAGACAGCGCCGTCTCTCACCCAGTCGAGCACAACCCCGTCGTTCCTCTCAACAACACGCAGCGACTTCCACCGCACGCACACCAGTAACATCGGGGAAGCGGGTAAGCCCCGACGGTACCGGATCAATTCGAATCAAACGCAATGCCCTACGTCGGACATCTTCAGGAGCAGGCAGCAGATCCGAAAGCCCGCCTTCCGAGGACAACGGCATATACCGTCGTTGCGCATCCCCCCCGCTTATCAACGGTGACGTGACACGCGCAGCCTCCACCGTCCGCTCGTCCGCCCGCAAGAAGACCAGTCAGTCAAACCTCCGAAGCAATACCGCCCCTAGTACATCGGCAGGGCCCAGCAGCGCCAACGGCCACGGCTTTGGTTCCCTCAGCGCAGCCACCGAGCAGACTTGCCGCCAACTACGAGCCTACCGCAAAAAGCTGGCAAGCTCGGACGCTATTAGCGGCGACATCTTGGCCGAACTCGATGCCGAACTGCGACTTACCGCGGCCGCCCTCGGCGAGCGGGCGATCCGCAGCCGGAGCAGGAGGCCTCATTTGCAGAACCACCACAGCTACTGCAGCCACGGCAGCGATCGTGAACGTGGTCACGGTCATCACGACAGAGAGAAGGCGCTCAGCGAAAGCATGCTCACCAACCTGCTGGACCAGTATAGTGAACGGTTGGTCAGCATGTTGGATGAGAAGCTGAGGATAAGGCTGCTGAGCGAGGAAGAGAGGGAGGCGTTGATGAGTGCAAGGCAGAGTCAGCGGCCGACGACGTCTGGAGGAGGGTCGACGAGCTCAGGGGCGTCGGGGGTTACGGAGGGGAGGAGTGGGAGCAGCTCGATCGGGAGCACGATCATGTGCATCGATGGAGATGGGATGATGATGATGCAGGAAGAGGAGGACGGTGGGGAGGCGGACGGGGAGACCGAATGTGACGGAGAGGGAGGGGCAGACACTGAGGCGGAGGATTTTTGCGGTGATGAAAGAGGGAGGGAGAGTGGTGGGTTGAATGAGAGGATGATGGGGTTGGATTTACATTGCTAGGCAAATGGAAGAAAGCAAAAGAGGAACCAGGAAAGGATCAGAAACAAAAAACAACCAAAGTGGACAAGATACCCCTTCTGAACAATATTTCCTTTTCTTATCACGACTTCAAGAACAGTAACACAACCTACCCATTTGTGCGAGCCACGCACTTCTCTTTTTGTCAAACACTTTTTTTTTGTATCAACAGATTGGAGAGAATCATCGACTGCAATATGCATTGGAGTGGCATTGTGCATTATCTGGGAGATTAGAAGGCGGGCGGTAGATGGGGGTTAAGGCGGACCGGGGAAAGAAGGAGTGATGGATTGAAGTGCTCTATAATTCACTCGAGGCGTTATAGGTAGTTAATTAGGTTGGATGGAACATTTGACCCGCTCATCACGATTGGTTTCATCTTCCTGTTCGTACAGCCACCCATCATTCACCAATCTCTAAGCTCAAAAATGACCTCCATACCACCCCATGTGCTATGCTAACCTGTTTATATGCCATGTGATGCCATGAGTCGCCATTCTACATAGAACCATGCTACGTTATGCCATTAATTGCCCTTTTAGCCATCCACCCATCCAATCCCCCTTCTTTTTCACTCTTGAAAGACCTGTTGGGTATCAACCACCACCCCTCCCCCCCCCTCCCCCCCCCTCCCCGCCCGATTTTTTTTTTCTTTTCCTTAGAGACATCCCACCACACACTCAGTTGCGCATAGCGCAAAGCAGTTCTCCCTCTCTCAAGCCAGCCAGTCAGCCAGTTTAAGGTTTCAACTGTATGACGGGACACAAGAATGTAATCATACCCACCCCCTAAAGCCCTAAGGACGTCGTGCAGAAGATCCATGCCGTTGCCGTTGCTGTTGACCCTGCCGTTGCCGCTGTCGCTGGACGACAGCCGCATACGACGACGACGACGAGGATGTCGCGGATGAGAGTACCTAAGCCCCAGTCCTTGATACCCGTGCTGCATGAGCTGGTGGACCATGTGAGTTCATGACACTTTCTCCTGTGCTGCCTTCTTCTTCTAGTCCGTCAACACCACTACCAAGAACAGCTCGACCGTTGCTCTCAGGCTGCTGCTGCTGCTGCTGCTGCTGCTGCTGCTGATGATGATGATGATGAGGATGATAATGATAATGATGGCCCTGCCTCAACGACTCCTCCGTGACTTCCTCGACAACTGATAGCTCATGCGTTTCATAGGCCTTGACCTCCTCCTTCTCCTTGTGGAGCTCATGCTCATGCTCATGCTTCGTATCCTTCTTCTTCTCATCTCTCGGCCTTTCATTCTGTCCCTCAGGATCCGTCTCGTGTTGTCGGAGATGATGGTTAATCTCGCTCTTGCTCTTACTCGTACGGCGGCTTTTGGACAACATCTGATCTCTCAATCTCTTCCAATCAGCCTTCCAGTTCTCGATGCTCCGGACCAGTTCTGGATCAGCGGCCTCGACGGGCGGGAGGAATTCGTTGACGAGGGTCTCGATGGCGCGAAGTTCGAGACGGAGGTGCTTGAGTTCGGATTCTTGGTAGGAGACTTCGTCTTCTCTGTTTTGCATTTGCAGGCTGTCGTCAGTTTGTTCTGTGGGTCAAAAGGGATGGATGAATGAGGCTTACAGATCGAGAACTTCCTTCTCTAGTTCGAGGATGCGAGAGGCGGCCGCTTCGGCTCTCTCTACTAGAAGGGCGTGGACGTGCTATCGTTTGGCGTGTGGAGTTAGTATTTGTACATAAATGAGTAGGGAGGGATCTTGAGTGTGAGAGGGACTTACATTTGATTCCTCTCTCCTCGTCTCTAGGCTTTTCAGGACTGCCTCCAGCTGAGCAGCTAGCTTCTCAGATTCGGCCGCGATGCGCTCTGTTTCAGCACCCCGTCGCTTTACTGCCTCCACTTCCACTGCAGCAACAGACACTGATGCAGTACCAGCGCCAACAGAAGGTGTAATCTCAGCAGCTTCCGCCAGCTTCAAATGAACTTTCGATGAAGGCGACGGTGAGTGCGCCCGTGACTCAGGCGGTGAAGGCTCTGATCCCGAAAAATTCTTAGCTAACCAACCTGGGGCAGTAGCAGCAGCTGCTGCTGCTGACGACTCAAAGGCACGAATGTCCTTTAGAGGCGAGTGAAGTTGCTCCTCCCCCTCCTCCTTGTCTCCCTCTCCACCGCTCTCGCTTTCACCTCCATTTTCCTCTGGTCTTGGAGAAGAAGCCTGTGAACGTCTTGACCTCCTCGCTGATGGCCTAACAGGCCGTTTCGTCACCCTCAAACCACCAGTAACACCCGCAGCACCCGCAGGACCATCACCACTGTCAATACCCCTAAGTCCGGTCCCTGTTCCCTTCCCGTTGAGGACAGCTTCCATCTCATCCACCTTGGCGTGCAACTCGCTGATACTGACATCGCTAAGAACACCATGGCTCGTAACCGTCGGTTCCTTGGCCTCCTGCAAATGGTGAATTAAATCCGTCAACCGTTCCACAAGCACATCTTTGCTGTCCTGTGTGAGCTTGTCGTCTTCTGCCTTGTTAGCAGCAGCAGTGTCCGCCCGTACTCGCGGGTACTGCTTGTGCTGGTCGTCATCATCGCTTAACTCGTCATCGGCGTGAAAAGAGAGGGTGTTGTCGTTGTCGTCATCCTTTACCGCAAGGTGATGAACCGTACCACGGCTGTCGTTGACGTGAGTGAAGAAGGAGTTGCCGGAGCCGGAGCCGTAACCGTAACCGGAACCGGGATGGGAGCCGGCGATGCTGGCAAAGCTGGGGGCCCGAGACGATGAGCGGACGGCCTGGAGAGGGGCGGAGAATTGCCTACGGAACGGAGAGAGTGGTGAAGAGGGTCCTAAGCCTAGGCCTCCGACGAGGTGATAGAGCGTCGAAGCTGCTGGTGGCGGTAGGTGATGGGATGAGGGTGAGGGTGAGGGCGAGCGGCTGCCGTGCTGGTGGAGAGCATAGCGGTTTCGTCCGCTTTGAGGATGATTGGGTGGTGTCTGAGGATGTGAGATGAGTTGTCGTTCTTCAAGGTTACTTGAGGAGCCTTGTGGGGGGGAGCCGAAGCCTAGGGGGGATTGTAGTCCTCTGGGAGAGGTTTGTGTGGTGGCACGTACCGGACTACCTGAGGTTGTTGTTGTTAGACTTGGCAACGGGGGGTGAGATGGGGATTTGATCGAATGAAGGTCCGAGTCTAGGTCTGAATCCGGGTCTGCATAGTTTGGTGCCGCAGACCGTCGGTGGTTTTGTTCATCATCATCGGGCATCGCGATGGCTGATGGTCCTCATGCCACCAATGAGATGTAAACAAAGAGTCGTATCAGACAGATGTCAACAAGTCATCGATCAGTGCTAACAACAGTGAAGGTATCGGCGATGGTTTTGTATCATTTCAGTATCCCCAACTTTCCGCCCTGTTTGGCTTCCTCTTTACAGACTGGAATTTCCGGTTTGATATCGTTGCTGAAGCCCAAAGCAGATCAACAAGATGTCTTGGCAGTTCTACAGGCTCCTCTGCTCCGTCGGCGTAGTGGAGCAGTTCAGCCGTCGTGTCGCTGCGCCGTTGGGTGCCAGCTACTGTACCGGTTGATTGTATGTTGTGGGCGATTTCTTTATTTGCTGGATCATCTATTCAGGAGAGTTTATGCAAGAGACAACTGAAGGCCACCAGACAAGAGAGGGGCTTTGTACGCTGAGGTTGTTGGTTGTTATTTCAGTGTTATCAGTCGAAATTGTTATGTATTGGCGAGGTTTCCCTTCCGTTGCTAGTGTACCTCTACAGGCAGTCACAAACAAAGTCCGAGCTCCTACTGCGTAGACTAGGTACGTACTTAGTTCCCCGGACAGCCGATCTCCAGTCTCCGGACGGTGAGCCCCACAAGGTGGGTGGAAAGCCCCCGGACTCCGGGCCAGATGAGCTCGGCGAGTCATGGACAAAGCACGACAAGGAACACGGGCGCACAGCCAGTGGAAAACAAGAGCCCGACGGTTGCCGAAAGTGTGTTTTTTTTGTTTGTTGTTTTGGGCGCAAAAGAAAAAGAACCGAAAGAGCGGACGAATCAGAGTCGTCCGAGATGCCCCGCCATGAGTGTCTCACTTCAAGAGTTCAAGGAGCTTCACTAGTACCTATAGAGAGTGCTCTCACCATTGAGAGCTTCTATGAGAAAGAACAGTTACGCTTCGATATTTCTGCTCGGTGCTTTGTTTATTTACTTTTTCTAGTTCGTCTGAAACCTCAAAGCACGCTGAGCATGACGTCAAGTGGAGGTTGACGGTGTATCCGTTTGTCAGAGCTCCTGTTTTCGTGATACGGGAGTGACCTATAAATGCGATAATGCGAGTGGACTGTATCTTTAAACTTTTTATAGGTATATGAAACGGTATTTGATGTGTTTTTGAACTCTCCATCACAAGTTCAACTCGTCTCTCGGCTTCTCAATTATTACCACAATGGGCCTGCTTACCAAGGACCCAAAACTATTATAGTATCACGCTCAAAGCTCTTGACAGCTTTGAATCCAAGGAGACCTGAGTTCGCAACATCAAGGTGTCCGCGTGTCGGTGGCTGACTGTCGGAATCTGAAGGTCACCTAGAAGCTCTTCCATGTCTCCCCCATGTCACATCAGCTCCTCACTGTGTTTTATGTTTACTGTCTGCTTGAATGTGGAGGTAAGCTATGCACACTACCAACCTCGAGCCGACTGCCACCGCAACGTAACCAGACTATAGAGGCTCATCAAACTCAGAGGGATGCTCATGCTTGACGATCCCCCCTTTGGGTTCCTTGGCAGAGGTTGGTGTTGGAGGTGACTGTTTGAGGTTGCTGTATCCGGTATTTCTCCGCCTCATTCGGTCTGCCCCCAGGAAATCCAATGAGAAGCGCGGGATATCAAGAACAGGGGACAGAGCACGAATGCAATGGCACCTTGACTCGAGGGTGCCGTACGATACTGGCGAGAGGCAGTTGCAAAAGAGCCGAAAAAAAAAAAGAAGCGAGCCATGCTGCTGTGCTCTGCTTGTGGACGGGAGGGACGGGAGTGGTGTGCATGAGGATGAGATGCATCTCGATTCCCTTGTCGGTTGTTAGGACAGAGTCACTGTGCAAGGCACGCTGCGGTAGCTTGCAGTAACAGCCGGGACAGGTACTGAAGGCACTGGGTGGATATCTTGTGCCCGTCTGACACTCATCCGATCCATGGCTCGGGAACCCCGCCAATGGTGACTAAGGTGGACTGAGTGTGTTTCCCGTCCCCCGGCTCCATGGAGCCCTTGTTAGGTAGTGCGGTGACTAAGAACCTAAGCTGAGGCACATGGGCAACCACTGCCTGACTCTCTCTCTCTCCATGTCTCCATTCCCGTCCCTATAACCCGGGTGCCAACCTACCTACCTAAACATTTTCCTGCGCTTTTGTTTTTTCCTCCTTTCTTCTCGAGGTGTTGTATTTCTCTCTCTTTCTTCATAGAGGGGGCTGTTTTGACTTGCGCGTGAATTTGGCGACAAACCTCCAAGACGCCAAAGCCAGCAGGAGGATATTGTTTCCCATACCGCCAACACTATAACCACTAACAAATCCACTTGCGTCATTGTCGCCGGATTCCGCTTGCCTCGGTTGTGTTGCGCCCGACTGCCCGGCTTGAGGTGTCCTACAGGGAGCACTACCAGAACCCTACCTAGCTGCCGATACCTGGCGCCCATCACTGCCTACGCGGTCTTGTCCGGTACCTCGAGATAACCGAACCTCCGCTGTTACCCATCAAGCCGTCAACACCGCACCAGACACCGTGCAGTTCCCGCAGCAAAAGTCCATTGGACAGCCGACTCCCGTCCCTCTGACAACCAGTCACTCCAGTCAGTCAGTCAGTCAGTCTTCTTCAACCACCTACACAGACAGTACCGTAGCCAACCCTCCTCAATAAAGACCGCCCTGATCGAGAATACCCAATTGCGGTCCGACTCATCCGGAACGACAAGCAACGCCAGTTCCCTTTCTGCATGGTGCACGGCAGCCGGCCTGCACTCCAGCACTCCACAGCTCTCTACGGCATCAATTGGCGACAGCGATAGCGGCCAAGGCCCGTAGCCACCAGCCAACATGTCGTGGAAAATGAGCGAGAAGCTCATGGACACCATCCGGCACTATGCGAGCTTTCCTGCCACCGGCGTCAGCTTGCGCCAGATGGTCCAGTTTGGCGAGAAGCCTTCTACTGGTAAGGGGGGGAGAGAAGACACTTGGTCCGTCCACAAAGCGTCTTGCTAACCTGCGCCGCCATACATCCAGGAACCCTCTTCCGCGCCTCCCAATTCCTTGCTGAAGAGCTCCCCATCCGTCTCGCCCACAGAGTCCAGGAGCTTGATAACCTTCCAGATGGCCTTAACGAGATGCCTTCGGTCAAGAAGGTCCAGGCCTGGTATGCCCAATCGTTCGAGGTGCGCACACTCACTCTCCTCTTCTCTCTCCCCCCTGTCCCACCATGTTAGTGAATATCTAACGGGTCAACTGTAGGAAATCACACAACTGCCACGGCCACACCTACCAAAAGATGTCAGGGAGCGCTTGATGAGGCCGTCGAGAAGCGGAAAACACGCCTATCTACCAGAGGCGACACCAAACCCCAGCATAGAGGAAGGCCAGTACGCCTCACACAATGGAGCAAGCTACGCAAGCGGACTCAACCACAAAAAGTTCTCGGCCTCAAGGAGATACTTCGCTATGGTCGATGACACAGGGGATTGGCCTCCCGACCTACACCTTTACAACCAGAAATTTGCACAGACTCTGCACAAGATCAAGAGGCGGCACGACAGTGTCGTCACCACCATGGCCCAGGGCATCCTTGAATACAAGCGCAAAAGGCAACGCATGCAGATCGACCACAACATCCAGTCTTTCCTCGACCGCTTCTACATGTCGCGCATAGGCATAAGAATGCTGATTGGGCAGCACATCGCCTTGACGGACCAGAACCACTATCGCGATCCCTCATATGTCGGTATTATCTGCACCAAGACGTATGTCAAGGACCTCGCCCAGGAGGCCATTGAGAACGCCCGGTTTGTTTGCGAGGATCACTACGGTCTCTTTGAGGCTCCCAAGATCCAGCTAGTCTGCAACCCTAACCTCAACTTCATGTATGTGCCAGGGCATCTGTCGCACATGCTCTTTGAGACCCTCAAGAACTCGCTGCGCGCCGTCGTCGAGACCCACGGCCAGGACAAGCAGGAATTCCCCGTCACCAAGGTCATTGTTGCTGAGGGCAAGGAAGACATCACCATCAAGATCTCGGATGAAGGAGGCGGTATTCCCCGTAGCGCTATCCCGCTTGTTTGGACCTACATGTACACCACCGTCGATCGCACACCCAACCTGGATCCCGACTTCGACAAGAGCGACTTTAAGGCCCCCATGGCCGGTTTCGGCTACGGACTTCCTATCTCGCGCTTGTATGCGAGATACTTTGGTGGCGACCTTAAGTTGATCAGCATGGAAGGGTGAGTAGCCCGGGCTGCTTCTTGAGGCGTTGTGTATGCTAACAGCCCGGGATAATTAGATACGGAACCGATGTCTACCTGCACCTCAACAGGTTGTCAAGTTCGTCAGAACCTCTGCAATAGCAACCAGCAGTCATGAGGGGTAGCGGAAGAACAGGAACCGCATCCCAAGGATTGACGCTGCCATCGTCACTGAGATACATGAAAAAACGGCTTAAGGACCTCGAGGTCTCGGAACGCAAGCAGGTTGGCGACACCGAAGCCACAGTTCATCCTCTTCCACCTCAGCCCGTGCCTTCGTCGGCGGTCGCCTCGGGAACCGGAGTAAGAACCAAAGACAGCGCTCTTTAGAGGAAAACAAAAAAAAAATAGTGTTAATGCCTTGTCTTTTGCTGCAGGTGGGAAGGACGGCGGGGCTCGGATCTGGATTTGGTCGGCTTTTCCTCGTTTTGTCAACTCTGTCGTTCGGCTGGTTCGGCTTTTCGGTTACTCGAAGCGGTTGAGGGACTTAGCCACGTACCCACCGGATAGACAAATAATGTACGAAAGCTTACGAAACGAACTCACAAACACGGATGAACGAACCGGTTCAAAAGAACACATAGCAACATAAACGCAACGACATACAACGACAAACAGATACGCATGAAAGCATGGGAATTGGCGCTGTTCACATCGGGAAGACAGGTGGGCGGTTTTCACAACGCAAGGGGGTGGGGCGAAGGGTGAAAGGGGGAGAAGAATCTACCCTCTGCGGTTACATGTCATTCAAATAGGGCGCCCCGAAAGGAGAGGGATGGTCAACGATGGGAAAGGAAAGAAGAAGAGGTGTGCGGGGTACTACGAGAAGCTAGTACGATGGACGACCACCTACGAGCCTACCTACATACGCAGCGAAGAAAGGGGCAACAAGGGGGTCAGGCCGTCACACGGAGAGACGGAGAGATGAATGACAATAAATATCCTTTTTACACACTTCCCTTGCTTCCTTCTTCTCATCGCAACTGCGTCTTGTCGATAAAAGGAGATATCCAAGTTATACGTATGGTATCAATATTCGAGTACACGTAATGTACAAAAGCATTGTATATGTTTATCATGTCACAGTAGTGGGAATTGGTCAAAGTTGTACGTATCTTGGTGTGTATAAAATGGCTGAACTACACAACGACTGGGGGGAGGTCATTTAAATCGATTCTACAGAATATTGATGGTTTTCATAGCAAAATAGATATTTTTGTTGTAGATCTAGGTATGATGAGAATTGGTTTCAGGACAAGACAACAAGGACATGCCACACTCCTCTCCTCCTCTTTCTCTCCTTTCTTATATACAGTATCGTACCGTGTCATGCCAGTTGACGCTTCTTGACCTCGCAACCATGTACACACGCTATACATCTCGCCTTGTTAATCCCATCTTCGTTTTCTCTTTACACTACTTAGGTATCTTTCTTCAACAACGCAACGCAACGCTTGCGTATCAAATCCAATTTTGATTTCACATTCACTTTGTGAATTGATCATCTAGTCAACCCTGGTATCTCAACTTGGACTAAGCCTTGTACAACAAATCCAAAAACCCTCTCGCCAGATCCACCACCACGCTCTTGTTCGGCAAACTGCCCGCAACACCATACAACGCCGCCGTATCCCCAGCAGCTTTTTGTTTACCCGTCTTTCCTGAGGTACCCATCTTGAGCGCCTCCACCTGCCGTACCCTCTCTTTTTCGCGTTCCTCTTCGACCACACCTTCCAAATCCTGTGCCAGCCTTTCCCAATTCTTGGCCACCGGCGCCGTCACTGCTACGTGAATAGCGGGCGGGTTCTGTAGCGCGTTCAAGTGCCAGCCGCGCGAGGACATGCCGTCGGCAATGTCGTAGATGTTGAGGTCCCCCCGGGCTTGGAAGGCCAAGACGGACACGAGGGGGTTACCGAGGATTTCGAGTTCTTGCTGCAAGGTGGGGTGGGAGCGAATATGTTCGGCGAGTTTCTTGGTGGCGCCCACGATTTGCGTGCAGGATTTCAGGTAGCCTTCTTCTCCGACAGACATGAGGGAGGCCCAGCAGGCGGCGATGAGAGCGCCGGGGCGGGAGCCGGCGATACCCGGGGAGGCGTAGACGCCTCCGGACCAGGAAGGGTCGACAAAGTACTGGTAACTCCGTAACTCGGCGGTGCGGTAGAGGACGGTGGAGTTACCCTTGGGGGCAAACCCGTATTTGTGCGTGTCGCAGGAGATGGAGGTGACGCCCTTGAGGCGGAAATCGAACGGTTGCGAGTCGAAGCCGGCTTTGTCGAGGAAAGGAACGAGGAAGGAACCTAGGCAGCAGTCGACGTGGAGCGGGATCTTCTTGCGAAGGGCAAGTTTGGAGAGGGTGGAAATGTCGTCGATGATGCCGTGCGGGAAGTTGGGGGCCGAGCCGACTAGCATGATGGTGTTGCGGTTGATCAGGCGGGCCACGCGCTTGGTGTCGACTTGGTAGGTGGGCGCAGGGCAGGCGACAAGGTGGAGTTTGATCTTGAAGTATTCAGCTGCTTTGCGGAAGGCGGTATGGGCGGTTTCGGGGATGATCATCTCCGGCTCCGTCACGCCGCGCTCGTGGTAGGCCTTTTGGCGCGCCGAGAGGATGGCCATGAGGATGGACTCGGTGCCGCCCGAGGTGGAGACGCCGGCGGCTCCGGGGGGAGCGTTGAAGAGGGAGAGCACCATGGCGACGACTTCGGCTTCCATCTTGCGCACGCCCGGGAAGACGTCCGGGTGGATCGGGTTGGCAACGGTAAACTTGCCGTAGGCCTCCGTCTGCAGCTTGAGAAGCTCGTCCTCGCCCGAGTAGACGGCACCCGAGACGTAGCCGTCCTCCCACCGCGTATGATCCATGGTGGCGAGCGCTTCGAGCTCCTTACGGACAGCCTCCTCGGTCCAGCCCTCCTTGGGTAGTGACAGGTAGCGAGTTTGCCCAGCGGGAATCATCTTGGCTTGCATCTTGGTGAGGGCATCGTCGATTTGGGCGCGCACTTTGGTGCGCACGCCGGGTAGGCGGAGGAAGTAACCATAGAGAATGCGGCGAGCGTCAGTGAAGAGCTCGAACAGGGTGCCGAAAAGACCGCGGCCTTTGAGCTTCCACAGAGCGCGGCGGGTCCAGCGGAGAAGGAAGAGGAAGAAGACGATGTTGCGGATTCTGTGGTCACATTACTGTTGTTAGTCGGGTGTATATAAGTAGTCAAAGATGTGTATGATGGTGTGGTTTGGTTCCCGTGTAAGTCGATGAGTATGCGACTCCCTGCAATACACCCACATGTAATTTGCGATCTGGCCGAGGTTACAAAGCGCACCGCCTTTGCTGCATGGGAAATCCAAAAGATGACGGCCGTCGTATTACCCATACAGACTGTTGTTATGAGCATATGGTAGAAAGGAATACGAGACTCACAAGTCCACATTGAGGTTCAACACCTGCATCGGATTCCTCGGTCTCGACCTCTTGACGCTGTCAATGCTCTGCCGGAGGCTGACAGGCATGCGTGAAGTGCCTGGCATCTTTGCTGTTCAATGAGCAAGAGATTGCTAACTTGGACAGGTAGAAAAGGGAGTATCGATGTTGTTGTTATGGTGATGCAGTGACCCGAGAGGCCCTTGAAAGAAGGAAGACGGGAAAGAAGAGAACCAAGTGGGGTGGAAACCTGGGATACCTATATTACTTATTCATGAAGTGGCCTACCCACCCCCGGCCTCTTAAGTCTAGTGGACGCGTGTGAGCTGTTTAGTGCTTGCATTAAGAGCCTGGCAGTTCATTTAGCGCCTTGCGGGGGAAGTTAGGTTATGTAACCGCAGTCAACCGAGGGACCTGAATTGAGAAAGGAAGCTCGGCGTGGGCGCGTGGCAGCCCAGCGTGGCGATTGCAACCATTCAAACAGCAAACAGCCTCGTGTTGATGATGTTTTCCCGCTCACTCGTTCACTGCGACTCCGTCCGCGGATCCCGTTCGGTTCCAGGTTTTGTAGTAGCAGGACTTCCGGGGAAGCCGGCATCACTAGTCTGGTCTAGCAGTGCCAACCATCCATTCATCCAGATGTTCTGCTACCGAGGGAAACTCTGAGAAGGAAACTAAACAGAAGCCAAGAGAGTTTGGGTACTCGCCATTTACCATAGGGAATCAATGGCTCGAGACATCGAGGTACTTTTTTCCCCACCGTTCCCTTGCCGTTATCCGAACACATGGAAGTCGAAATATCGATTAAATCACACAATCACATGCACGAAGGACTCACCACCACACCACACCAACAATGGCCTTCTGACGTAGCACCTTGATGGCTCTCCTCGGTAGCAGGTGGTAAAAGTCATCCTTAGTATATAAAACACTGAATGAGCCAAACTACAACATCAAATCACCGTTTCATCGTGCTACCAAACTGTAGTGTACGTAGCAGTAAGTAGTATTCTCGCCCAAACATAACCGCCGTTTCATTTGCCTCCCCCTCCAGGCTTTCAAACCTCCGCTTCCCTACTCCCTCCTAAATCTGGTATTACGTTTACGTCGTTCTTCTCATCTTTATATCCATATTCGTTCCGTAGGTTTCCCTTCCACACCATGGCTTGCTTGCCTCTATCTGCCTCCTCCTCATCCACCCTGCTTAGGAGGAGAGGTTACTAGTTATATGTTGTCCAAATTTCCCGGTGAGCAAATAGCAGAAACATTGTCTCCTCAAACGCCCCCGACCCATCCTGTTCCAATTGGCATGTGCTTGCTATGATGAAGGAGCTCCTCCTCCCCTTCTCCAAGTAAGAAACGCTCTTTGTGTTCCATACCTCCCCTCCTGAGCCCGTATACGCCGTCGGGTTATTTTGTGTGCTGTAGGAGGTGGTGGTGATGGTGGTAATGCTGGTGCTGGTAAATCATTAAGCAAATTCTCCTCCCCTTTCGAACGCCGTTCCTGCAAAGTGGCAGCCGACCGTATTCCAAGAGGACAGTCGGCAATACGCACCCTTTCCTTGTCCATAGAATGCCCCATAAGGTTCACAATTCGTTGTTTTCAGCTTTTCGAAATCGTCGTTCAACGAGGTTGGTTATTCGGTTCGGTTCGGTTCGGTTCGGTACGTGCATGTTCATGGTATCCAAGAAGCTGAATGTGCCTTCTTGTCGCCTGCTATCCTCCATCCATCCCTTGACCTCTGCCTGCCTTCTCATGAGTCCTGATACGCGGCCTTCCACTGAGCGAACCTCTGCGACTCGGTCTCACAAGTATCCTCGCCAGCTTCACCGCAAGCATAGAGGCGCACCGCAAGGTCTCCCTCCTTGTACTCCTGCCCACCCTTCTCCTTACTGTATGAGTTCAAGATGCGCTGGGGCACAAGAGCGAGCTTGGCGAGAATGGTGGGATGCCACTGGACAATGTGTTCCTGTTGTCTCACGTGTTAGCATATTGTCCGTTTTCGCGAGAGCTTGGCCCAACTTACCAAGGCATGCTGCTCCGCCTTCTGAAAGTTATAAGTCCTGTAGATGGGATCAAACCAAGTCTCGAGGAAAAACTTGGCCCACTCGCCATTCTTCACCACGAAGCTGCTCGAAGACAGGCCATCCTTGTCCTGCGTCAATACGAAATCAACATCGTGTCCCTTGAGGTGGCTGAACGTCTTGATGATGCTGTCGGGCGGCACAACGGGGTGGTCCTTGATCATCAGCTCCTCCAGCCTCGATGGCTTCATGACGTGCTCCTCGATCTTCAGCAGCGGGTTCATAATGAAGGCGTTCTGGTCGAGGTACCAGATGTACGACGCATCGGGGAACTTGGTCATGGCATGTCGGACGGCGGGGAGGGTGGCCCACGAGACGGGTGCGCCGTGGAGGTCGTAGTCGGAGGATTTGACGAAGAAGGTGCCGTAGCCTGAATCGGGTCGTGATGATGGTAAGTAAGCTGAGGTCAGGATAGAGACAGCGGGAGCATGCATCTGTCTTCGCATGTCGCTCCCCTTGGCGCAGATTGGGCGGGAATTGATGAACACATACCATGCTTCTCGGCATATTTTAGCCTGTTTTCCTTGACCATATCCATATACCCCTTTCCATACTTGCCCTCGTTGAACACTGTAACTATCACCACCGGCGGATTGCCCGACGGCTTGTGGTACGCCGGTGGCGCATGTCGACTACGGCCGCCTCGTTGGAATAGCCACAGTAGCGTCAGGAATGCCAGGCCGGTAAGGACAATGGTTTTCAAACGCTTGCCTCGTATTGTCGGAAGAGCGGACGTCCGGGGCCGAAAAGGCGGCGGGTTCGAAGATTTTCGTGGAGGGTATGCGAAATGCATCGCGGGCAGGTTTGCGACGAGGAACAGACGAGTCCAGACCCTGAAACTATGGTGTCGTAGTACGCGCGGCGCGGCGTCGTCAGCTTCGGCAGAAGATTCCACCCTCGCAGGGACAGAGGGAAAGAGAGCGGTTTGGCGGGCGGTGGGAAGAGGCGACCAAGTGGAAGCTTCCGTCCGCAGAAAGAGGAGTAGGGGGAAAAAAAGATCGACGCCGAAAAGGTCAAACTAGGGGTTCGGCCGTTGGTGATGCGCGCGCGCCTGTTCGCGACGGTCTAACCAGCTTGATTGGGACAAATCGCCCAAACAGGACTTTTGGCTCAACAAGCCTCACACTATCAGCCGAGGTTTGGTTGTCGTCGGCCGGACTTGTTTGAGTAATACTTGTAGATACTGTTGACCAAGGCGGGTACGTCAAGGAGTATCAATCTAGATCGGATCGAATCGTGGCTGGTACTCTTTTTTTTTTTTTGTCTTATAACGAACCAACATGCTAAAACGGACGGGAGTGAACCAGGTCGGCGTGATAGCGTCCGTTCGGTTGGTCGCGGCTTTTTAATGAGAATATCTATTTGTACGGACCAAAAAGTCTATTTGTACGGACCCCCACTTCTTTTTCCCATACACAACCCTAACCCTGGCGAATCTCAACCGACCCGCACCCATCTAGCACGTACCGAACCCGCCAAGCTCCCAGATTTCAACCCATTACACCCATCTAGGGGTTACACTAGCCACCCTCGTATTGCACTAGCTACCCAACTAGTCTAACTTAACAATTATTCTAGTATATACTTTATTGTATTGCTTCCTCTACCAAACTACATATTATTACCCTTATTACCCCCAATCAATCCACCACCCCGCGTATTACTAAATACTACTAAAGTAAATAAAGCGCTTACATCTGGTTGACGGTACGGATTAATATATTACTTTTCAATACATTTCCCTAGTTAACTGTAATATAAATGGCCGATATAGCGATTCCCCAGCCGACGGATGTATACAATTGTGGCGCTCCCGACCCGACCGACCCTATATCTACCCAGCCGCCCAATTGCGATAGTAATAGCGAATCTAACAAGAGCCTTCTATTCTATAAAGTATTTACGATTTAATACAATTATTTTAATAAGGTTGCTAAAGCGGTAAAGGATTGGAGTAAGGAGTACGGTTATTAACTTATTAAGACGAGAATTAGTAATACCCGTAATTGAGAGTTTGGACCGATTAGAGCCGACTTTGAGTGTAGCTATAGTAAGATACGTAAAAGTATAGTATATAGTCGTACCACTTTAATATTAAGAATGGGATGCCCTTAGAGAGGGATTGCTAGAGTATTATTAATTAATAATATAAGGTGGACCTTTAAGGTTAAAGACTGTTAGAAGGCTAAGAGCCCGTGCACAGAAGCACCTCAGCGGCTGCTACTCCCCTTCGTTAATTAAAGCGTAGGATTATTTACGATAATGTTTATATCGGGTCGGGCTCGTAGGAAGGATAATCCAGTACCGCGCCGAAGCGCCAAACTAGTACGAAATTTTATAATACTTATTAATAGATAAATAGAGTTTATATAAATATAAAAGAGGTTCAACGGAGTATATTTTATTATAGTCGGTAACTATTAATATATCTTTAGATTGACCCCTAATTTACTATCCCCTACGTATAGCTACGACCGTAGTCACCTCAGCCTACTTTTCGCCTATATTCTTAATAAATTAATAGTTCTTCTTTTAGGAATTGAACCGATACTATTAAAATGTATATATGTAGTGGCCGGTTTATTTCTTGTATTACCGAAGTTATTCTTCGTCCCTCTTGTACTATTACCCTTGTAGTTACTATAATTAAAACAATTTAACTTCCTCTACTTTTATTATAATAATGTTAGCCTACTATAGAATTTATTGAAGAAGATAATAATAAAGACTACCCCCCTATACCGCCCTAGGTTCCCTATTCGTATTTTTAAATTTTGGAAATTAATAAGTTCGTGTGTAAATAGTAATTATTCGAATTTCGGTTCGTTATAATTAAATTCCTCTTTAATTACCTTCCTTCGTATATATTCTAATAAGAGTAATTTATGTTCGTAGGCTTTATTGAATAAAATTTAATAGGAAATTACTCTCCTATTTTTATTAGGTTCTATTACTAAGATTATTTCTTCTATAATTAAATTTGTATTTCTACTATATCTCCCCTTACTACCCTTTCGTCGGTGGCCGTTATTGCAATTACCTTTTTACTAACTACGGCCGTATTAGCCTATATTAAATACCGTCCTAAATATAATATTACTAAATTTACTAGCGAAAATTTCTTATAATTATAGAATTACTTTTATAATGTTAATATATATTTTTAAAAATACCCCTATATTTCCCTCTCGTTCGCCGTCAATTATATTAAGGGCAATCCCAAGAACGTATAAATTAAATATATATTAATTTTCTGTAGTAAACCCGGGTACAATACTATTCGTAATATATTTATATAGAATAACCTCCGTACCTTCTTAAAAATTAAATATAATAGTAATATTTAAGTTATTAAATAATCCGTTTTTAATAAATTTTAATGTATATAGTAAAACGCTTCGGAAATTATTTATAATTTCTATAACCGTTATTATATTAAAGAATTTAATCTATCGTACGATTAATTAGAATATATTCGGATTGTTACGTAGGTTAACTAATTATATCCCTTCTTTAAATAAAGTATTCTTTCGATAGTTAATATTAATATAATAAATAAAATAGTAATGTACGCGGAATAGTTGGAAGGCCTAGAGAATATTGAACTATCCGTATTATATTACTAATACTAAATATTTTTAGAATATAATCTATCGTCTTCTTTATTTTCGTACCCTCTTACCTCCTCTTCGAATATTCCTTTTTAATTGTTTTATAGTAATAATCCTTCCGATTTTCTCTATCGCCCCCCTATTACTTTTTAAATAAATCCTAATTTTATTTATTCCTTTTATTATTAGAAAGGTTATATATATAGCCGGTATACCTAATTGAAATTACTAAATACTTACTACGAATATAGTATAACGGGCTATTTTGTAGTAGTATACCTAAATTAAGCTTATTATAATTATAATTAAGTTGGTTATTTAGTATGGAATTGCCCTATCCCTACAAGTACCCCCTTATATAGAATAAATATTAAATTAATTGTAATTAAAATAGTAGTTATAACTATTTAGGATAATACGGGTAAATTATAAATATATTTAGAAACGAAGTTATTAGTAAGGATTTATAAAGATTAGTAGAGTATGTAAGGGTTAATAAATTCGAATGCGGAATTAAACTTAATTAGTAGGTATTTACTCCCGTTGAACGCGAAAATTAATCTAGTACTCTATTATTTTATTAATTTCTCCTTTCGGCCTATTCTTATATATAGTACAATTACCTATTTTATTAGAATAAATAATTCCTATAGTACTAAATAGATAAAGCGAATTATTTTTACTATAATTAAATCCCCGGTTATAGAAATTATCTTCGGTTACCCCTAGCTTTATAAGTAAAACCCCGATATTAATTAGTGGCGATGGTCGTTTTAGTTTCGTATTAAAATTAGCGATTTTGTATTGAATATAATATTAGTAAAGGAAGTATATAACGCTATAATTGTTTTAATAGGGCTACAATAGGATTTAATTCTATTATTAGACCCTTAAGAAATAGTAAGGGTAGAAGAGGGTTTCCGCCTTCCTATATATATAAATATTCTATTCGAAATCCCCTCTTCCTTAGTATTAGAATTTGTAACCCTACCTATTATAGTAGAGTTAGCCGAATTACTTCTAATTCCTACCCCCCTAGTAAAGGTTTTTCGAATAGTATTCAACGGTGTTTACCCTACTCTAATACCCCCCGTAGAACTAATATTACTATAACCCCTAAAATTATTAAAGGAAATAGAAGGCGAGTCCGCCGTTTTTAAACCGATTATTCCGCTAGAGTATAAAGAATTCCAGTTAGTATTCGAAGCTTCGGTTATACCCCTACCCTAATATAATCGGTTAGAGTATTATATTAATTTAATTGAAGGAGAATCGGCGTTTTAAGGACCGATTTATATATTAAATATTAAAGAATTGGAAGTATTATATGAATAATTAACGGAAGTACTTTAAAAGGGGTAGATTCGTCCCTCTATTAATCTAGCGGGTGCTTTTATTATTTTTATTTTAAAGAAGGGTAGAAAATTAAGGCTCTATATTAATTTTAAAACGTCAAATAAAATTATAAAAAAGAATTGGATAATATTACCCTTTATTTAAAAGATTTTAAATCGGCTATTGTCGGTTAAAATTTTTATAAAATTGGATTTAAAAGACGTATATTATAGGATTCGGATTCGAAAGGGAGATAAAGAGAAAATAGCGTTTTATACGAAGTATAAGTACTATAAATTTTTAATTATACTGATAAGATTAGCGAATATACTAGCGATATTTTAAATATATATTAATAATATATTAGTAAAATTAATAAATATAATATATATTATTTACTTTAATAATATCCTAATTTATAGTAAAAACGAAGAAGACTATATTAATTATATTAAGGAAGTCCTTCAACGGTTATAAAATCGTAACCTCTATATAAATCTAGGTAAGTGCGAATTTTATACGAAGCGGGTATTATTTTTAAAATATATTATTTCTTTAAAAGGCGTAATAATAGATTTAAAGAGGGTAGTAATAATTATAGAATAGAAAGCCCCGGCGAACGTTTATAATATCTAGGTCTTCCTAGGGTTTATAGGATTTTATTAATATTTTGTAACGTTATATTCTAAAGTAACTATATTCTTAACGGAATTATTAAAGGGAAATAAACGGAGGTTATTCGAATTTATAAAGGAAGTAGAAGAAGTATTTACGGAATTTAAAAAATTATTTTAAAAAACTCCTATATTATACTACTTCGATCTAATATTATAAATCCGAATAGAAATAAATATATCGGACTTTATAATTAGGACGGTTTTTATATAATTATATAGTAATAAATAGCACTTAATAATTTTCTTTTCGAGGAAGAAATTACCGGAGGAAACTAGGTATAGGGTTAGGGATAGAGAGCTATTAACAATCGTAGGAATATTAAAGGCGTAAAAATAATACTTATTATATATAAATAAACTATTTCTAATAATTATAAATTACTTAAATTTATAGTATTTTTGAAAAAAAGAGTAGGTTAGTACGAAGTAGAATTAGTAAATATTAGAATTAATAGCGTATAACTTTAGGATTAAATATTATCTAAGGAAGTTAAATCCGGCAAATAAACTATTGAGGAAACTATAATTACAAAAAAAAAAAATAGAAGGCAGGGGGCGACCACTTATTAATAAAGGTTATTGAAGGGGGTAAAGAGAAGGGTCGGGCGATAAAGGAAAATCGAATAGTAAGAACGTTAATAAAATAAATAATTTTAATTAAAAAAGAAAT